CTCGCACACATACACACACACACATGCGCGCGCGCGTGCACAGTCATATAGGTGTCAATTCCGGGGGTGCTAAGGGTGCCCAGCACCTCCAAAGGCAAAATTAGTGCCTACCCCCGTATTAAATATAATAATAATTTATATTTTATATTATATATATTTATATCGTTTTTAGTACATACTTAAAATACTTTTAATATTTTTTTCAAAAAATAGTCTCTTGCAACTATATTTTAAATAAATTTATTGATTTATATTTTGATATACAGGACAATTTTTTTTTCTAACTGTTTAACTTGTTTTAATGTACATTAATTACATTATAACTTATAATAAAAGTTTCTATTGCCTTAAAATATGTACWTATATCAATTTATTCGATAATAATCTTCTGTTTTATTTATATATATATATATTTTTTTTTTGAATATGTTGTAGAGTATTTGTGATTTTTAGAAAGTGTGAGCGGTGTAGCCTTTCAAGAGTAACTGATAAAGTGAAAAGTTGATTTTGGAGAGACTTGAGCACCCCCGAGTACTAAGTGGATTTGCGCCTATGCAGTTTATAGTCTAAGTATAATTTTATAAGCACGAATTAAAAATGGAAGTGTCATCTCCTATATGCCATTAATTTGCTTTATAATTATGATGTAAACAAGTGCCTATGAAATATGTTTAAACTGTATTTTAAATTTTAAAACAGAATATTTATACTTAATACAATACCGATTTATTTCTATACATTATTGACATTACTATAGTTCATAATATTAGCATATTCAAGATTCAAGTCTAACATGAGTTTGGATTAATAATTTTTTTTTTTTGCTGACAATGATTTTACTCTGTAAGTCAATAAAAAATATAAAGGATTCTCATAACATATTATATTCTCAATTTTAATGTATCATCAAAATGTACCGTTCTTTTATTCTATTGGTGAAAAAACTGACTGACTGCAGTAAATTAATGTGCATTTTTAATAAGTACATTTAAATGYTGAGAATAGATGGAAATACCCTTTATAATTTAATTCTTTTATGATATAATTTTTATTAAAAAACGATCCAATAAAGAAATAATGCTCTTGTCGGATGCTTGTTTGGTGCGCAAAGTGTGCATTCTTAATTCCCTACATCTGCAGTTATCTATAGGTACTCGTTTTTTATTGTTTTCAATGATATTTAAATATTACATAATTACAATGAAATAATTCACTCGAACCAGTRTAAAAAAACGCACTGAGATTGTAATACATTATGGTACATGATACCGTACCGGGATTATAGGGRATAATTTTACACCGTTCTGGACCAATGAATTTCYAGATAGATGAAAAAAATACTTTTYCAAGTTCGGACCGTATAAGGACATAAAATTTATTTTTTTTAACAGGTAAATATTCACGCTACTTACTTTGCCTACTCCAAACGTCTTTGTAGGGGTGTTAACAGAAATAAAAATTAAATCTGCTTCTTGAATAGCTTCTTCGATGTTTGTGGAAAAGAACAAGTTTACATTTCTGCGTTTTTTTACAATGTCATCGAGTCCGGGCTAAAAATGACATAATGTTGAGTACAAATATGAAAAAAGTTAAAAAATACCACTTAATATTTTTAATCACTTCATAGATGGGCAATTTCTCTGAGTTCCACTGGGAAATTCGATGAGCGCTTATGTCTACAACCGTGACTTTTATGTGTGGACACTGCATTGCTATTACACTGCACGTGGGTCCACCAACATATCCAGCGCCTATACAGCATATTTTTGTGACMGCCATAGTGTCTTTAGCAGCTTATGAAAACCTGTTAAATTTAAAACAATAATCTTAAATCAGAACAAGAACACACATTCTTCATAAATAATCAACATAGGTAATAAAATATTATTGAAATGTTTAAATGTTCTATATAATAAAGTGTTTAATTGTAACAATTGACCATTGACCTGCATGTCGCAACTTGCAAGTGTATACAACCGTTGCTCAGCGTGGGCACATGATCGTTTTCGACCAAAAACGTACCCTTCTCTTTTCGGGTGCACACTAGTTGCCTCCCGAAGTCAAAAGAGCCCATAATTTTTATGCGAATTGCCTCCCGGCGTATCCTAGATGTTATCATAAACGAAAAGGGTCTAGTACTATAGTTTCCTCCCATTAGTCAAGTAATAAATATATGAATGGTTCCAAACATTTTCAAACATCATGTATCAAAATAAATTTATAATTTCAAGGTTAGTTTTTCGACCAAAACAAAAATTTATATAATACATTTAAAATAAAATGTAGAAAATTGTTTAAAATATAAGAATATTTAATATCTATACATATTAATGTCACAATATGCAATATGTATA